GTCTTGAGTGCTCAGAAATGGTTTCTCAGACTCTTTTATTTGGATTGACAACTTCCTTTGAGGACCGAGTCATTTCCACATTTTCACTTTTTGGACACTATTCGTTTTTCGTCCTTTTTCCCATTTCGTCTTTTTTCTGTTTGTCACTTTGTTGGCAAAACCTCACTTCTTGTGTTCGGAGTTGGTTTTTGACTTCACGTATCTTCATTCTATGTGGTTTCCATGAAATACGTGTTTTTACTTTTGCAAGAAAGTACTCTGGTTGCTCCCGATGTCCATAGGGGCATGGATGCATAGTTTTTCAGAATCTTTTTCTTTTCTTGGGGTATTTTTCGTAAATATCTTTTGAAGATATTTTATTTCAAGGGTTTTTAAGAAAATATTTTTGGAAGATATTTTCATTCTGGGCCATTAGTGCAGTTTTCACTTTTTGGAGAGGCCATTGTGCAATTAATGAAAGTTATTACTAAATACCTTGTTTTGAGCCTGGATCCTCGTACGGGATTCATTTTCACTTTTCGTCGAGTTGCGTACTCTTTGAATTTCCTTCTGATTGTTTTTCTCCAGTTTCAGGGTTTCTGGTACTAGTTGCCGCCGAACTTGTTTGGAGCATATCTCTCTGCTCAGAACTCGGTTTTTGACGTCATTTCTTCTGTTGTTCATATTTTCTCATTTTAAATCTTTTTCGTTCACGGAGTTTTTCCGTTTGAGCGCGTCTGCTCAAATTTCATTTTTTCGGACCTGGCGGGGCCCATTCAGGGCACTTTTTGAGGTTTTCTATAAATAGGGGGCCTTTAAGTGAAAAATCAGATCTCACCCTCTCTCTCCCCTCTCTTGGCCGGATTCCATGGCAGCCATGGGCTGCCACCTTCTCTCTCATCCTTTGAGCTTCTTCCCTTGGTTAAAACATCGTAGTGCCTTAGTCTTTAATACTTGTCTTGATGGCGCGCATCTTTCACCCTGATTAGAATCCGTTTTTGGCCAAATTTTGAGTTCAGGTTTGAGGTCAAGTTAGGATTTTGGTAGGTCCTAATTGGAATTTATTGTTCACGATGTTGTCCCCGACAAAACCCCGAAGTATCGTCGAATTTGGAGCCGTTTCATTTTGATGACTTTTAAGATTTTCATCTCAAATTGAGGTAGGGGATGTTTTAGGATTATGTATGTGTTGTATTGAGTATTTTCCATGATTATACAACTTGTATGCATGCTTTTGTTCATAATTTAGAATTTAATTTAATTATTTTCTATGGTTAAGATTTAATTCTCATGATGATGTATAACTTAGAATTAAATTGTGGCGTGCTAGAAAATTATGCTTTGGTATATTTGTTAGCATATATTAAATTGGGATTAATTGAATAAGAATTGCACTTTTTATTTAATATTTTTCTTTTGTGAAAGATTAATTCCCATGGTCGTACCTTGCACGAAATTAATATGTGATATGCTTTTAAATTAAGTCTTGGCATGTTCTTTGACATACTTTAATTTGAGAGCATTTGGAGAAGTATGAAAATTTAGAGATTTTAATTAAAAAGATTAATTAAAATCTATTTAATAGTTTTTTTGGCTAAATTATGTTTTTAACTTGATATTGGTGATGACTAGGACTTGTATACTAGTGTATATCAATTTAGGACCATTTAGAGTTGATTTGGAAATTAGAGAGTTAATTATCATGATTTAATTAAATTCTATCTCATTGTTCCATGGATTTTAATTATGTTGTAGAAGTTGTTTCTATATTTAAATCATGGATTTGGACTTGTTGTGTAGTCTTTTAGTTATGTTTTAAGCATTGAGTACATTGTTGTTAAATTTATATTCATGAGAACTTGTTTCCAATATTGAATATATGATTGACTTGTGTAATGAATTGTACACTTTATGTTTGACATTATATATGTCATTTTAGAATTTAAACTCTAAGGCATGGATTGTATGGTTTCAACCTATTTGTGCATGGAAGGTGATTTTCGTGCATTATATAAATTACGTATAAGTTGTGAACTTATTTGATTAGTTTGGAGTCTTGGGACATTGTTACAAGTGATATGGCTAAAGTTTGGCTTTAGTGCGGGAGGTATGAGTTCTCCCCAATTGTAATAGTGCGCACTAGGGTGGTCTTCCCAGCGGGTTAATGCTCGGAATAACCATTTTGTTCTTGGTTTAGTCCGAGACGTGATGTCTAAGTCTTCCACTATTTGATTTCGCATTCAATTCCAAGTTGACAATCATGTTTAATTGTGACTTGTAGTTTTGGCTATTGGCGATTGATGTTGTTAAGTACATCCATACTAAATTGTTATATTTAATTGTTTTCACTCTTTTAGATTTCAAGTTGATAACATAGAGAATCTATGTCTTGATGTGTGGTATTAGAAATTCTAACTGTACTAAATTGTTATATTTAGTTGTTATTGCATTTTAGATTTCAAGATGGTAACCTTGAGAATCTATATCTTGATACTTGTGTAGCATGCTTCTATGTTGGTTAATTGCGTAGATATTGTGATTTGTGATTTGTGTTTTGTTGTTCAAATGTGACTTTGGAATGACCCTATAGATTTATTTAGAACATAGACTTTAGGTGGCATGATCCACTATAGTTGTTTTAGCATTTTAGATTTCAAGTTGGTGACTTTGAGAATCTATATCATGTTGCTTGTATAACATGCGTTTATGTTGTTGAAATTGCATGGAGGATGTGATTTATGTTAGAAATGATCTAAGGTAGCTTAGGATGCTCCCTGAGTCTCATCTTTGACATAGATGCTAGATGGAATAAACCACAATGAATAAATCATGTAAACTTGTAAAACGTTAGGTCGATGCATGCTCATTTCTTACGAGTAGCTTTATGTTGCTCATCCCAAAGTTACTGGGGCATATTTTAGGTACATGATTCAAGATCTGGAGATTTGCACTTACCTTGGGTGATTTGTAGATTTTAGGTTTCCTCAAATACATTCTTGTTCACATGTAAGTGTTAGCATGTTTGAGATTTGCCTATGAAATGTAATTTTTCTAATTTCGAGGTTTGACATGTCAAATGTTGTAAATGAATTGTAATAAGGCCATAGGCCATTGTAACATGTTTAAAATGTCATTTTACACTTGCGTGTATGTTCACATCATCACACACTTGCATTCAATTCAATTTGATCATGCAATGGGGATCCAATTGAGCCTTGGGGACTTCTTTTCATTTTTGGTGCATAACAGGTTCATTTTTGCATTTTCAACCTATTTCGGTCGACCGGTGGCTTGTTTCGGTCGACCAATGGCCTTTGAATTTCAATTGTTCAGTGAAAACTCCAATTCCAATAGCCATTTTCACTGTAGAGGCTTATTTCGGTCAACCGGTTCTCTACTTCGGTTGATCGAAGCACCATCTTTCATCTCGAGCCACAAACCGGTTGACTGCTTTGTCATTTCAGTCGACCGAAATGAAGGCTCTTTTCCTTTTCTTTTTTTTCCTGGCTTATTTCGGCAGACCGAAGCTCCATTTCGGTCGACCGAAATGGAGCTGCCTTGTAGGTTTTGTTTGGTTGATTGTTTCCTCAGGCCTTTATCGCTTCATTTCTTCCTACTAGATTTTGTTAATCTTGTGTAAGCCATTTAGTGGTGTTCTTGGTTTAATTTGAACTAGATTTTGTCCCTTTAGTTGTCATTGGTGCCATAGGGTACCATTTGACCCTTTTCATGCTAGTTTTCGCTTCTGGTTAATTCCTTGAGCTCTGTGACTTCATGGAAGGTCACATTGGTGTCTTGGGGATGGTTTGCATCTCTATAGACTTTGGATTTATCTTTTACTTCCGCATTTCCGATCCGTTATCGGATCAACTTTCGGTTCATCATAGTACACACTAGGTTGAAAAATCCAGGGTTGTCACATTCTAGAATACTCCGGGTATAATAATTGGGTGGGTCTCTCAATCATTGCATCATTAATTAGGTAGGCCATACCACCAATCTAACGATTGAAAAATCTAGAGTATGATATCCCCAAGTATTTTTAAAATTTTCGAACTTGCATTTAACACTTTTATGAAACAGCCAATCAAACTGATTTTTATACATTTCTTAAATTTTTATTCTCAAAAGATAGAAAAACATTCATAAAAAACACTCAACAAAATAGATGGCCTGTCAGTTTTCCTTATTTTATTATTATTATTTTTTGGTTCTCATACTTAATTTAACATTAAATAAACCCAACTTTCTTATTTACTTTCCTTGCAATTCTGATCATAACATAAAGGGCAGAATTTTTGAAAATAACCACTTCGGGATACTATATCAGAAAGTCAAACTAAGAAGGTAGAAGTGTCAATTTGTGCTCAGGTTATAATCGTATCGTTTCAATTTAAAGATATTTTATTAAATAATTCAATTCGAATATGATTCATTTAATACTCATATTAAGAACATTTAACACTAACCTGACTTATTTATTAAACAGGTTACACGTGTAACTCGTTTAATGACAAATTATTAATAATTCTCAATCAAACAATAAATATTATAAAATATAAGTTTTAATTCAATCAAATTACTAAATAGTCTATAATCTACAAAATAATAAATTATAAGACACAAGTTTAAATTATTATTTTGGAATTCAAATATAGATTTATTTTGACACATATAGTTAAACGGGTAAAAGCTAGTTTAAATATTTCAACTCAAATATGATACGATTAACTAAACAGGTTAATCATATCAACCCGTTTAGAGTCTACTCAAAACTATTTAACTGGTGTCGTATTCGAGTATTGGTTTTGGTGTTAAAACTTTGCCACCCCCTAACTGTAGTATTATAATAGTTATATGGTGTCAAATATTAGGGCTTTTCGGTAATTTAAGTGGGGACGAGATCCTCGCCTTGTCGTGAAGTCATTATCACATAGATATGAGAAAGCGATTTTTAATATACATTTATATATATAAACTCTCTCTCTCTCTCTCTCTCTCTCTCTCTCTCTCAACAGAAACAAATTTTTGAGGGAGATAAACAAATCGCAGAAGAAATATATATATATATATATATAGGTATCCATTTCCAGAAAATTACCTAAAAGCAAGTGACTACTGTATAGTAGTCTTGAGTGATCATCAACACTAAAACTCCTATAAATGTCGAGAAAAATAGCTTGACAAGAAGAGAGAGAGAGAGAGAGAGAGAGAGAAGGGGGAAAAGAATATACAGTTTTTTTGCAGAGAAGTCTAGTTGTTATAGAGAGAGAGAGAGATCAGAGATTTTAGAGAGAGAGTATTTGTTTATGGGTTTTGTTGTGGGGGGGAACCGCGTATCTGCGAAAATCCTTGAAATTCGATTCATTTGCTTTAGAAAGTAAAGTAAATAAATCAAATATTATCTGTCCGATTAAAAAATTGCAGGCACAAGTTTGAGAGTTGCGATTGATCCAACCAACAAAGCCATATAACAGTACAATGTACCCAGAAACAGGTTCATTGATTTTTTTTTTTTTTTTTCTCTCTATACTGTTTCTCTCTCTTGCTTGTCTGTGTTTTGGCTATTTTGGTTTTGTTTCTCTCTCTTGGTTGTGTATGTATGTGTACTGTGTTTTAGCTGGCGTTGTTGGCTAATTTAATGTTTATTATTGGGAGGTCAGTGAACATTATTAGTTTATTTGATATTGTTTACAGTGAACATGCGTGCTATTCTTTGTCTCTAGACTCTCTTCAAACAAACTTCACGCTTGCAAAGAGAGAGAGAGAGAGAGAGAGAGAGGACATAACTTGAGTTCTTGAATTTTTTATTCCATTCAATTTCTCAAACCCCATTGGAGAGAGAGAGAGAGAGGAACATATAATTATAGAGAGGGATTTGGGGGAAGAGTTTTTTGGAATTTGGGCTTTGTCCATCTTTTGAGGGCTACAACAAGCCATGCTTGTTTGATGAAAAATTTGATAAACTTTCTTTTGGGTTTCTCTTAAATTTTGTTCATTATTTTTTGTTTGGGGGTTTTGGGTACTGATAATTTGAGTCACGCAAAACAATGCTGCAATGATAATTTGCTTCCAGTGTACAGAGTACCTTTTTCTTTGTATGCATAGAAAGTGCTTCTGAAAATAATACTTGCAGTTCTTTGTAGAAGTTATGGCTCTTGAATGTATACGTACTTTGATGGGTTCTTGTGTTTTAGCTTGAAGATGAAGTGGGAAAGAGGGGAAGAAGAAAGGGAGAGAGAAAAGAGGGAGGCAGAGGAAGCTTTGTTTTGATGGGTTTGAAGACTCAAAGCCACCACTTGGTGGCTGTGAAGTTGAATGAGCAATTGGGCACAAAGAGGAAGTACACATTTATCAATAGAGCTTGGCTCCCAAAAATTCTGCTGCTTTGGATCTTGTTTGTGGCCTTTGTGAGCAGATTAATCTACAATAGAATGGATGCTGATAATAAGGTGAGAAGGAAGGAAGTGCTCGTGAGCATGTGTGATCAAAGGGCGAGGATGTTACAAGATCAATTCAGTGTTAGTGTTAATCACGTCCATGCTCTTGCTATCCTCGTCTCCACCTTTCATTATTATAGGAATCCATCAGCAATTGATCAGGTTTGTACTTGTGTTGATATATTTTGTTAAATTTTGGGCATCAAATGTTGTGTTCTTTGATGATTGTCTGAATTCATGTTAGTATGGGTGTGGTTGATTGCACAATGCAGCAAACTTTTGCGGAGTACACGGCCCGAACGTCCTTTGAGCGCCCATTGATGAGTGGTGTGGCATATGCACAAAGAGTGGTCAGTTCAAATAGAGAAGAATTTGAGAGGCAACATGGGTGGACAGTAAGGACAATGGAGAGGGAGCCTTCACCTGTCCGTGACGAATATGCGCCTGTGATATTTTCTCAGAAAACTGTCTCCTACATTGAATCCCTCGATATGATGTCCGGCGAGGTACATTGTGTATTTTATGAGCTTCAATTGTTTACTTGATATATATACATTTTCATATTCCAAATTGATTGGAATTCCTTTTCTTTTCTTTTTTTATTTTTAACCTGCATATTTTTGTCTGCATGATGTAGGAGGACCGCGAAAACATTTTGAGAGCTAGGGCTACTGGCAAAGCAGTTCTCACAAGCCCCTTCAGGCTGTTGGGTTCTCATCATCTTGGGGTTGTTTTGACAATCCCTGTTTACAAATTTAAGCTCCCTCCAAGTCCATCGGTGGGAGAACGCATTGAAGCAACTGCAGGGTAACCCCTAACATTTATCTAACACATTGGAAATTTGTACATACATGTTTACTTTTATAACCTTTCTGCAATGAGTCAAGATTTGTGTTATTTAAATTCTGTAAATTAGGTTTTATAAATATGTTATGTGCAGAATAGAATTTTAATGGTCAACTAGAAGACAGTACAAAACGAAATGAAGGAATCCTAAGGAGATTAACTTTTTAATTTGTCACTGGTTCATATTTTAATAAATGTTGCACCATGAAATTTATTCCAATTTTCATCTAGTCAGCTTCCTCGAGGCTTTAGTCAAAGATGGCACACTGCAGATATTTTATTCTGATTCTTATTATTTATTAGTTTATTTATTTTTTATAAGTCATTCTGATTCTTTGTTTTAGTTACCATATTTTCCCATTAATCTCTCAAATCGATGCCAATATTGCCTGTGGCTAAAATCAATTAAAATCCGCAAGAATCTATTGTGCTATTTACATTTTCTGCAAAAAGCATTGTAATATTCCAGGATGGGTTGAGAAATTTCGAATGTCTTGAGATCGATTTAAGTATTTTCTTTTTCTTTTTTCCTCAAAGGTTGCCTTGTATAAATGGCTTGCCACTCCTTCATACTGGATTGGTAATATGTTACACTTTCAGTTCTAAAATAGAAAACTTGCACAGTTTTGATTTTGATGTCGGAATGTTGCTGCTATCTGCTTTCAGTACAAAGAGCAATGTTCACACTCTTTCCATATGCCCAGCAAGAGAGAATTTTTGAGACTAAGATTCTTTTTTAGCAGACATAAGCAACTGTATTTCCAGAACTGGTTTTTTTGGGGTAGACTATTAGATCATGTTGGCAAAAGAAAGCTGAATACACAACATTCTGTGAAAAGTAAATAATTAAGAGCATGCATTTCTTAATTTTATTTTATTACTGAAGTACAAAAATTTGAGACTTCTATTTATAAGTGTGAATTGGAATTTTGATGTATCCACAACTGGTGTCATATGTGCAAGGGCGAATTGGCTTGGTGCATTATTCTTGACTACACTAGCTATGCTAATTAAATGAATTTTTATGATTGAAGTATCCATATTGGACACACAATATTTGGATATAGGCACGGAACGTGTCCGCTATGGTCTATTCATGCATACCCAATTATTCAAGTTTATTTTTTAACCATATATAAATCTAACGTGTGGACATACATTCACACCTAGCGCAGCTCTCGAGTCCATATGTATTATGTGTAATTTCCTAAAGTATGATTATTTGAGGATTACATGTGATAGGGGGATAGTCTTCTTTTTCTTCTTCTGTAATCATTTCTGTTTTATAGTGCTTGGTGATTTGCATCGTTTGCAATATTATTGTGTGGAAGTGTTCTAAACAATTTTTTATATAAGAGTTTTGTTGTTTTTGTTCTAATTTTCTTTAATTTTTACATTTTCTAATATTTTAATTGCTTTCATCTTGATCTGTTCATGGTTCATACCAAAAAAGTTCTGCATGTGGGTAAAATAATATTTTCGTTGAATGCAGATACCTTGGTGGAGCCTTTGATGTTGAGTCCCTTGTTGAGAATTTACTTGGGCAACTTGCTGGGAACCAGGCGATTGTGGTAAACGTATATGATATTACTAACTCTTCTGATCCCTTAATCATGTATGGACACCAATATCATGATGGAGACATGTCCCTTGAGCGTGTAAGCAAGCTTGATTTTGGCGATCCAGTCCGGAAGCACCAAATGATATGTAGGTAAGTGCGCCTTGCCAATGATTTTTATTTTCAGAAGCCAATGTTTAAAAGTTCTGTAAGAGGACCCCTGCTGTTAATCCTTACTTTGAACAAAGACCCAAAGTTTTAAGGTTTTTGTTTCCGGAACAGGTATCTTCAGACGGCACCTACATCATGGACAGCAGTCACCACTGCATTCTTATTCTTTGTGATTGGTTTATTAGTTGGTTATATGATATATGGTGCTGCTATTCACATTGTCAAAGTTGAGGATGATTTCCACGAAATGCAAGAGCTGAAAGTCCGAGCAGAAGCTGCTGACGTTGCCAAATCCCAGGTTTCATGCTATTCCTGTTCTTTTCTTTTTCGCTAGGCTATTAATTCTGCTCCTAAAAGGCAAAATTTAGTCAATTTCATCAAAAATTCAAACTACAAATTTTTTATGGAATTCTATTTTTGTTGCTCATGTCAGTTTCTTGCTACCGTTTCTCATGAAATTAGAACTCCCATGAATGGCATCCTTGGTATGTTCAGAATCCTTTCTTGATCTTTTATTGGTGTTTATAAAAGAATGATTGAGAGTTCAAATCCGTTTTCAGTCAACAATTACATTCATTTTATGTATGTCATTACAGGAATGCTTGCTCTGCTTCTAGATACAAATTTGAGTTCAACCCAAAGGGACTATGCTCAAACTGCTCAAGCCTGTGGAAAGGCACTAATAACATTAATAAATGAAGTGCTTGACAGGGCTAAAATTGAAGCTGGCAAATTAGAGCTGGAGATAGTCCCATTTGACCTTCGCTCTATACTTGACGATGTTCTCTCTTTATTTTCTGAGAAGTCTAGGCACAAGGGCATCGAGGTAAGTTTGACTGAGTTGCAATAATATTCCAGTACAGCATCGTTAACCATAATTGTTGCCTTATTTGAAGAGCCTCAAATTGATTCCTGAACTGTGCATTGCTTCTGCATTTTTTTTTGGTAATTCATGATCTGTCATGTATGCCACTGTGCATGAACTGACCTTGTACTTTTTTATTCTTATGGTTTTCCCTCTCCTTTTGTGGAACAATTAATGATCGGTGACCTCCATGATGCATTTTATATTGAATTTTCCAATACAATGCTGCACAAACAATTGAGGAAGTGAAGTTGGCTGTATTTGTTTCTGATAAAGTTCCTGACATTGTTATGGGGGATCCAGGACGATTCCGACAGGTTATCACAAATCTCGTTGGCAATTCAGTCAAAGTAAGTGAAAAATGTTCAAGCCTTGCCACTCTGGATAGTTAAAAATCTTATCTTTTTCATTTAGCGTGGTTCAGTAAATCTATTGATTGAATAATCCCTTTGATTTTAAGCTCAACATCGGCCCTCTTTTCCTTCTCTTCCCTCAACAAAACAATTAATAAACTAATCAACAAACTTTGTTTTCTTGAGTTGTACCTGCTCTCAACTAATAAAATTATCCACCCTGTAAAACCATGTTTTTACTTGCAGAAACCTACTTCTTGAATCCTGATGTATTTTATGCTCACTTGATTTAACTTTTGACAGTTTACTGAGCGAGGACATATATTTGTTCAAGTCCATTTAGCTGAATATTCAGATGCTGTAGTGGATGCAAAAGCGACCTGTCTGAATAGAGGTACCGAAAATGTTATTTTATCTAGTGGCTGTCAATTTAACACCTTAAGTGGTTTTGAAGCTGCCGATGACCGGAACAGTTGGGATACCTTCAAGCATTTGATTTCTGATGAAGGATTCCAACTTAATTCTTCAAATAAAGTGATGACCACTAATGGAACTTCTCAGAATGTCACTTTGATGGTAAGTGTAGAAGATACAGGGATTGGGATCCCTTTCCATGCGCAGGAACGGGTCTTCACACCCTTCATGCAGGCAGACAGTTCAACCTCTAGAAATTATGGTGGAACTGGAATCGGATTGAGCATTAGTAAGTGCTTGGTTGAACTGATGGGTGGTCAAATAAACTTTATAAGCCGTCCTCAAATTGGAAGCACATTTTCATTTACTGCTGTCTTTGGGAAGTGTGAGAAAAATGCATTTACTGATCTGAAAGAACCTCTTTCTGATGATCTGCCTCCTGGATTTAAAGGATTGAAAGCAATTTTAGTTGATAGGAAACCAGTAAGAGCTGCTGTAACCATATACCATCTAAAAAGACTTGGTATCGTGGTCGAAGTTGTAGGTGGCAACAGGATGGCAGTTGCAGTGCCTGGAAAAAATGTTTCCCAGAGGTCTACGTAAGTATTTCTTGTCCCTCATTATATTTCAACTCCATTGGGCATTTGAAAACTTCAATATATAAATATATAAATATATAAAATTATTTATTTATTTTTTTATCTAACTGCAGTTCAGTTTAGTGCCCTAATGATATTGCCTTTTCGGTTAATCTTTTAAGCCAAATCCTTGCAAGCCCTGCTTTTTTGCTTTTATGTCCCTGAAAGGAAAAATATATATATTCAAATTGGTAATGTTATCCTCTTGTTAGCCCCAAATTTAGATATAATCACAACTTGGAAAACTTTTTTTTTTTTTTTGGTTAGTCAACTTGGAAAACTTGAATCCGTTAATCATTTACCTTTTTTGATGGATTTTATATGTTATCAGGCTTCATCTGGAAATTTCAGGTAGCAGGACTGACTTTTGATAACTTTTTATGGTGGCAACAATATATTGTGAAAGAATGTAAAATAAGACTAAGGATCTTACATAATCCAGTAACTTCACTATACTGATGGGTGATGACAATGGAACAAATTTACCATCTGAAGATCTGAAATTGTTTTAAACCTACAAAAGGGATAATGGAGAAACTAATAGTTCAACAAAGAAAAATCCCGAATCCTTGAGACGACCCACTCACACAATGCCTTAAATTCCGAGCTTGTGTAAATTTCTATGCAGTATGTATCAAGTTTCACCGAAAGTCTTTTTTTGAGTAAGTTTCACTAAAGTGTTAGATGAACAAGTAAGGCAAACTTTTATTCCAGAGGCAACATTAAAGGAGAGATCTCAAATACATGTCTTTGCACACCATATCAGAATAGAGATTTATAATTGACATTTCCCATCTCTTAGTATAGTATCAGTCAACTTCCTGAATTAAACTAATTCTATCATGGCAGAAATGAAATGCAGCCAGAAATCATTCTAGTCGAGAAAGATTCATTAATATCCAGAGAGAATGGGAGCTTGAATTTACAGTTATCAGATTGGAAACAGAATGGCCACAAGTTTATATCGCCCAAGATGATTCTTCTCGTGACAAACATTAGTAGTGATGAGGTTGAAAAGGCAAAAGCAGCAGGATTTGCAGATACCATGATCATGAAACCTTTGAGAGCAAGTATGATGGCAGCATGCCTTCAAGAGGTGCTGGGAATGGGAAAGAAGGCACAACAGGTGAAAAACTTTCTTAATGGATCAGATTTTCTGCGGAGCTTGCTTTGGGGCAAGAAAATATTGGTGGTTGATGATAACAGGGTGAACCGTAGAGTTGCTGCTGGTGCATTGAAGAAGTTTGGGGCTGATGTAGTATGTGCTGAGAGTGGTAAAGCAGCTCTTGCCCTGCTGCAGTTACCACACAATTTTGATGCTTGCTTCATGGATATTCAGATGCCAGAGATGGATGGGTACGTATCAAGGGTTTCCCTTTATTGATTATTGATATAGTAATTCCTCTTATATTTCTTTGGTTATATCGTTTTATTTTCTACTCAATAACTTTAATTCATTGGACCTCACTGGATTGCTCAATTTTTCTTGTGTCTTTTGTCTCAATTGTTGGTTTTTTTATTTTTATTTTTTTATATTTCATCATTGGTGTAAATCATTTTCTTTATTTTTTGCTCAATTGTTGATTATTGATCATTTTCTTGCGCGCCTTGGTTGCGCCTCGTCCTGTGGCGCGGCTCACTATTTTTTTTTTAAAAACTATGATTATTCTATTTCTTAAGCCAAAAAGGGTACTTTTGGCAACTTAATAAACAAATAAGAAAGCCCAAGCGTAAGAGAGAAGAAACTTTTGTTTAAAAGAATAAACAAATAAGAAAGCCTAAGAGTAAAAGTGTTAACTGAACAGAGAAAGAGTGAGACCGTGAGACGAACGACGTTGCCCTAGTAGGAGAGATGAACGACGAAGCCATGTTAGTTCTTTCTTCTTCTTCTCTCTCTTCTCCTCTACTTCTCTGTCCTCTCTTCTCCTGTACTCCTCTCTTCTTATCTTTGTTTACATATCTCTTCGTCTAGTTTTTTTTTTTTTTTTGGGGGGGGGGGGGGGGGGGGGGGGGGGGGTTGTTGCGCTCTGTTTCTCCTTTTTTTCTTTAACACTTTCTCTCTCTTCTCGTCTACTGTTTCTCCTTTTTTTCTTTAACACTTTCTCTCTCTTCTCGTCTACTTCTCTCTCTCCATCTACTTATTCTGTCTGTACATCTTTTTTTTTTTTTTTTTTTTTTTTTAACAGATTTATTTCTTTTTGTGCTTTGTTTTATGGTTGTTGAAGTTTAGTTGATGGATCTACTTTTTTATATTTGATATTAATGTTTAGAATATTGCTAGGACTTGTGAGATATGAATGTTTTTATGGTAGTTTAAATTTTCAATTATGTGCCTCACTTCACTCAGGTGCGCGCCTAGGCTCCAAATGACCTCTAACACCTTGGTGCGCCTTGGGCTTTTAATAACATTGGTTGGCGGGTCGTGTCAAGATATGGGTATCCTATTAAATAAGTCGACACGATTATTACACGACACGACATGACAAGACACGTTTAGCTAAATGGGTCATTTTTTTACATGAACTTAATATGTTTAATGAATACGTTTAGTTAAATGGGTTATAAACGGGTTAGTGGGTGAAACACGAACACGTTTAATTATCGTGTCAATTCAGGTCTTACAACCTGAACACAATTAAGCCAGATCCGAACTCACTTATTTCATGTCGTGTTCAAGTCGTATTAGTGTGTCATGTCAAATATTGCCACCCCTAGATAAAATAGGCGAATAAGACAAGTAGTAGAGCCCAGCCTTCTCAAAGCCCCCACCAATTATCCACTTTGTCTTTAGATCCTGAAAGACACAGTGAGTAGGATAGAATGTTATTAAGCAATTTAGGGCAAAGGTAAGTTTACGAACTGATAGTAAATTAAAGGGAAATTGGTGTAGATACAAGACAGAAGAGAAGGTTAGATTAAAGGTATGAACGGTACCAATTCCTTGGACTAGAGTTTTGGTACCTTTAGCTATTGTGACATAAGGGGGAGAAGATATACGAGAAATACCAGATAAAAGAGCGGCGTTGCCTGTCATATAATCGGAGGCTCCAAAATTAATGATCCAGGTTGTATCGAATGAAGAATGAAGACATGCTCCAAAATGGTTGTGGAAGTGGATGGAGGATTAACATGCTTGACAATCGAATCATACTCAGCCTTGGAGATAAGAACATGTTCCTCAGTAGCAGGATTAATGTTCTTCCCCTCAACCACAACCCGATTTGCCTATGCAGGCTTGCCGTGAAGTTCCCAACAATGATCAGAAAGGTTAGTACGGCCATAGTATGTACATGTCCTGCCGCCACGAACACCTCGGCCACCTTTGCTAGGGTGTGAGAGACCACGTCCTCCTCGGCTACCTCGTGAAGTATCTGATCAAAGGTTGTTGGAACCCATCAATTTGGTAGTAGTCATAGAACTGAAAAAGAGAGTCCTTGTTTTTCGATTTTTCACTCATGATAATAGAGACGAGACAATCCAAGACAAGTGTGAAGCGAGAAAGGGAAATTATTATTATTATTTTTTACAGTTTATCTGTCAGAATTACAGTGAAAGAATTCTGTTCTTATTTTTTGGAACCTAGGGTTTGAGGTCATCTCTGTCCAAATTACAAGGAGGAAAGAACAGAACAACAAAGTAGAGAAGTTGACTATACACTAAAACAAAGAAAGAAATTGAGAAAAAGAAGAAAAGGAAAAAAGAAAAAGAAAAAAGTAGATGAAGCTTACATTAGTGAGGATACCAAAAGTGAACTGGGCTTGACACTATCCAGATTGCTGAGAATGGGTCGGGTAAAAGCAGCTGGAATGGAGCAGGTCCTAACTGAGCGGGCCCAGGTCCAGGAAGACAGTAGAGAAACTCGCAGTGGGACCAAAGGGGTCAGGCCCAAACAAAAGGAAAGTAAATAAGGCCAGCCCATCATAAGAAAGTCAGTTAGAAAGCTTTAGGAGTGGTTGTAACCGTCTATAAATAGACGAAAAGGAGAGGGAAAAGGGGTTGTAAAATGTTTGAAGTGCATAATTTCTCTTTCTAAATTGGGGAAAATTTAGTGCATCTTCGATGGTGCCGTTTGTGGGAACCGATGAGGATTGATTGATGTTTGATCCAAATCGATTCGATCCAGAGTAATTCATGAAGAAGACGTTTGATCTCTGAAAGCTGAATCAAGATTGATGAAAGTGGTTTGTCTTGCTGAATCTCGATTCCAGTTGATTTCTAGAGATTGGCGTCCGATTTACGCAGACCTGATCTGTGTTTATTCCGGTGAGCTGTGCAGTTTAGACCTGTTGAGATTGCTGAATTTGGAGAGCTCGTTGCTAAAGCAATTCAAATCCGGCCAGTAACGGACGGAATTCAACTAGTTTGAGTCCAGATCTACTGCGTTCGCATTAGCAAAGCTCAGATCTGATCAGAAATCTGCGGTTAATGACTTTGCTCCGATCAGGAATGATGATCGGAGGAGAGAGCTCAAATCCATTGGAGAATGGCCAGCAGTCGAAGCTTGATGAGTTGATGAGCATGATTGAAGCCCTGAGAAGAGAGAATGCAGAATTACGAGCTGGAATGGAGCGTCGTGAGGCTCCTACTATTCCAAGGCCACCTCCGGTAGGAGAGGGAGTCTTGCCGTTCAACGCTGTTCATCAAGGAGATCCAGAAGGTATCAATCGCATGGATCCTCATTGTGAAGAAATTTTGGTAGGTGATTTACCTCCAAATGTCCGTCAGGTAGAGGATCGGGAGGGATCTATTCATTTGGATCCACATCACGAACGAATCATGCGAGAGGAAGCGCCAGTGTATGATCATAGGGCTGCATCACCGTGGCAAAGTGAGTTTGCTGAGGACAGATCGTTTGATCCACGCCTTCAATGGCAACGTTTGATTACAGGTGTTCAGAGAGGAGATCTGCAGACCATGGGAAACGGGTGGAGCCCATTGGCATGGTAGAATTGATTGTGTAGGCTGCTGAAAGAGTTCTGATAGAGACATTTGTAGTTGTTGAGATCCATCCCTCCTACAACCTTCTGATGGGAAGAGGGTGGATCCATAGAGTCCAGGGTATTCCATTAACTCTGCATCAAGTGATGAGATGTTTAGGTCCAGATGGGAACAAAGTGATTGACATTCATGGAGATCAGGTCGCGACCAAGGAGTGCTACTCTGTAACTCTGAAGTCTGCTGGAAAAGGAAAGGCACCCATCCATTCTGTTAGCCCAAGATAGCAATTACAGGGTCCTTCACCCAACAACAGTGGGGAGGAGGAGCCTTCGGTCTTGACCGAAGAACCTCTTGTTGACGTGCAGATCGACCATGAGAAGCCAGACCGAACTACAAAAGTGGGAACAAGACTTGTAGAAGGGGAGAAACAAGGGTTGATTGATTTCTTGTCTCAGAATGCAGATGTGTTCGCGTGGAGCCATTTAGACATGCCAGGAGTCGGTACTTCTGTTTCTTGTCACTCTCTCAATGTAGATCCGAACGCAAAGCCTGTAAGGCAGAAGCAGAGAAGGTTTGCTCCAGAGCGCAATCAAATTATAGCTGAAGAAATCGATCGATTGTTTGATGCAGGGTTCATTAGAGAGGTCCAATACCCGGTTTAGCTCTCAAATATCGTTGTTGTGCAGAAAAAGAATGGGAAATGGAGAGTATGTATTGACTTCACCAATCTGAACAAAGCTTGCCCGAAGGATAGCTTCCCATTGCCAAAGATTGACCAGATGGTGGATGCCACTACTGGATACGAACGGTTAACGTTCCTGGACGCGTACTCAGGCTACAATCAAATCCCAATGGACCCCATTGATGAAGAGAAAACTTCTTTTGTCACCGAGCAAGGAACCTACTGCTACAAGGTCATGCCGTTTGGACTAAAAAATGCTGGAGCTACTTATCAGACGCTGATTAGCAAGATTTTCAAAAATCAAATGGGGAAGACTGTGGAGGCATACATTGATGACATGGTAGTAAAGAGTAAGAAGAAGGAAGATCACCTGGAACACCTACAAGACGTGTTCAGCGTGTTAAGGAAGTATGAAATGAAGCTTAATCCAACCAAATACTCATTTGGCGTGAGCTCTGGCCAATTCTTGGGACACGTGGTTAATCATAGAGGAATTGAAACCAGCCCAGCCCAAGCAAAAGCTTTGATCTGCAATGCAGAACCAAAAACGGTTAGAGAGGTGCAAGCACTTACAAGAAGAATAGCCGCATTGAGTTGGTTCATTTCTAAATTGTCAGATCGCTGTAAGCCGTTTTTTTGATACAATACGAGGCCATGGAAGGCAGGCTGGGGGGATGAGCAAAGACGGGCTCTAACCAGCTTGAAAGAATATATGCGGAACTCTCTAGTCTTATCT